TAAATAAAGAAATCAAGTGAATTAAATAATTACAATGAATATATACCTGTTGGATTGTTTGAGTTCTGTGAACATCCTTAAGATTCACAATACGAAGAATAAAATGTACTTAAGACGCCTGCAATAATAAGAATAAAGTTGACAGCTGTATAAAAGCTATTACAATGTAAATAAAGTTGTGCGTATCTATTACTTGCAAAAATATTCCTTTGTACTACGTTTAACAACATGTCGCAACAATATCAACTATTTAATGATGAATATTATTGAAGTCATTTGTTGTTTGTTTGGCGGCTTTAAATTGAGGTTATATATTAAAGGCTAAAGGTTATATTATAAAGCTCTGACATCTTGTGTAACTTTTGCGATCTATAAATTTTTAGTTGTGTTCTGAGGTTTTTAAACCTTCGACACCAACCTGTTGCTTCTTCCCTAGAAACGAACCTATTGCTGTAACCGTTACTAAACCGTTAAACATCGATAAGGTTGCATAATTGGATATGACGTGTTGCCTTAAAACCGTTGACACAAACCTGCTGCTAAAAACGAACCTATTCCTGTAACCGTTACTAAACCGTTAAATATAGATAAGGTTAGATAGTTGGATAAGGTGTGTTGCCTCAAAACCGTTGACACAAACCTGCTGCAACTTTCCTAAAAACGAACCTATTGCTATATCCGTTATTATCCGTTATGATAATGATGTTAATTAGAGTACCTGATAGGTAAAAAATATATAAATGAAATAGTGAAAAATTCAAACCTTTGTCAATAAAATGAGAACAGTGAATTTTAACTGTTCAAAATATGAATATAAATACATTTTCTTATCTATGGTTTATTTAGAAAATAACTTTAGCTATAATACACAATGAAAAAATACTCATAGAATTAAACATAACTAGTTGGTATTGGTTTTTTGCCTTGAGGTAAGTTACATGAACTTCCCGATATGTGTAAATAATCGCTTTAATCGATAAAAAATAAATTAATTTATGAGTGATTAAAAGTATTCCGAGTGGATTTGTAACATATAATTGAAAACGAACGCACATGTTAAATAGGAGTATTTTCTAAAAGCGAATTTTCAAAAATCAACAATTTTTATAATTAAACCAGTTTCCATAGGACTTTAATGGTTTAGTACGTTCATTAAGACCAAGTACTTTATCGTCATACCAAGCAAATCGTCTAATTTTAATTTTAACAAACTCAAAAAAACTACTCATTTTCTCAAACTTTGATAATTTTTTTAAATTAAACTACTTGTCGTGAGGCTGTAATATTTCAGTAAGTTCTATAAGACCATGATATATATAGCTAAAAAAAGTTCCATAAAAATCGTCTTGATTTTTTTTACAACAGTTAATTACAAGAAAACGGCTCGGTAGATTTTCACCTAAAACTAATCAGTATCATTCCCAACTAATATCTTTCGAACAGTTTTTGAGCAAACCTCGATGGAAGGTCTAATTTTGACAAATGCCGAAAAAACGATACTAATTTTTGCAAACTTTGTCGAATTTTTAAAGTTAAACGAGTTGTCGTAGGGCCGTAATATTTTAGTATGATCTATAAGACTATAGTATCTACCGTAAAAAAAAGAAAATCGTCGAAACAATTTTTTTAACACTTTATTACAAAAAAACGGCTCGGCCGATCTTTACCAAAAACTAATCAGCACGATTACCAACCAATATCTTTCGAACAGTTTTTGAATTTTCAAAACCGACTCAGAATTGCGGGCAAAAGCGCGTGGACAAAATTTTTTTCACTTTTCTGCGGTTTACAAAGAAACGGCTTGGCTGATCGTCGTGCAAAATTGATAGACACTAGTCCTCATTGAGATACATCGAATGGCTTTTAAATTTGTGAAATCAGCCCAGCCGTTTTTGAGAAAACGTCGAAACTGATCACACACACATAAACACACACATGCTTTTTCCAAATTTGGTCTCATTCGATTCAGAATGGCTTGAAACGACGGGAAACCATAAAATTAGCGAATCGGATTTTTTGATGAAAACATAAACTTCTCCTTCGGGAAGTTATTTAAACAATAGTTTATTTAAGTTTCAATTGGATTTGAATATCTCTTACATTTTGCAGAGTGGATTATTACCACAAGCAGCATTTTCGTCATCTTGGATGAATGCAGAAATGCCAGTGAAGAAAAATATAATCATATTCATGGAACGATCGAAAAGACCACTAAAAATATATGCAGGGAAAATGCTAGAACTTAGTTTGCAAACATTTTCCACGGTGAGAGTAATTTTAGAATTAAACATTTAAAAAATCATATTTTGTATATATATATATATATATATATATATATATATACATTTTTAACTAATGTATTATTGAAAATGTGAATTGATTTAAGCAGATAATCAGGTCAAAACTCAATTTTTATTTCAGATAATCAATTCTTCATATAGATATTATGCAGTTCTGCAACACATGCAAAGTACAAAAAATATATAATTGTAATAAAAAGCAGCAATTAAATATAAAAGTTTGTTGTTAATAATTCATTAATTGAAGTTAGGATCAAATGGTAAATAATACTGCAATAATCCTGTTAAGTTGACTTTTAATTATCGCAAATATATAGCGAATTAGTATTTTGATGAATTGCCTGAATTTTTTAGTTTTATTCTCATATCAGATCTCCAAAACAATTCAGACCCACTTTAATACTACTTTGACAATTTGGGTGAAATGCCAAGGAAGCAGATAAAGGTCCTAAATAGTTCTTAGCTTTATTTATTATGATAATTCGAAGGCGTGACCTGTAGTTTATATATTATCTGATAAATTATATTTAACTAATGGTCAAATGCTTGTCGAGTTATGTAAGATTGGTCTATAAAATATTTAAATCTTATTTTATAGACCAATCTTACATAACTCGACTTAATGTGCATTAATACATTAATAAGCACAGATACAACAAAATTGTTCTAAATAATATATTTTTTCGAAAATAAATTAACATAAGATTACAACTAATGGTAATCTGACACAGAGAGACTAGTATTTGATGAAACTTAAATACAAACAATTTGTTCATATATCCATATTGAGTACGTATCTATCACAAAAACAGAACGATATTGACACACTGATATAAGCTAAAATATATAACGCTCAGCATAATTTAAATATCATATATGATAGATTTATATCTTTGCTCATTATTTTTTCGAATTATACTTAAATTTAGTATATATAATTATATTTATATACATCTTGTTAAAAATGAAACTATACACATTCTATAATGTAATATATCAATATAGCTTCTATATATTTTAATTTATGACTATTTGTTCTTTGGCATAAAAGATACAAAATAGTTGAAATTTAGTAATTTGCATTGTTAACTTATAATAATATGTACATTGAGTCTGAATATTATTTTAATAATAATATTGGTACTCTTTTCGAAGGTTGGATGGGTACAAACCACATTGTTTGTAGTTCACACGTTATATATATATATATATATATATATATATATATATATTAGAGTATATATATATATATATTTATATATATATATATATATATATATATATATTAGAGTAGTCCTTAATATGGACGTTTTCGAATTTCCTTCTCTGAAAGTTTTAGCTCTTAATATTAACTTTTAGATAGAGCGCAATTCAATCAAAGTTTCGTATGGAATTAGCAAGGAAAAAATTTAAAAAATTTCTTTTAGATATGTCTTACAATTAGCGATAAGTGAATCAAAAGTGACAATTCATATCACGCTCTCTATTTAAAACCGAGTATGGTTTCTAATCTTTATCAAAATATCAGTTAATTAGCATGCACTTTATTAACAACACGTCGTCTTTGCAGTTTTTGGTGACATTACTTCAATAGGAGCAATTATTAGAAATTTGTACATAAATTTTATTTAATTTGAATCGGATTACTAATATTTATAAACAGGCGATTGAATTTAGGCAATAATAAAAACTCACACACGTAGATTAGTGAAAAAAAACCAGCGTTGGTTCGCTGCAATTTTCACCCTTTCCACTCGGATGCCACCACTCCGGCGGCGAATACGTACTAAATCTGCATTTAAGGGGGTCTTCCTATGTGATGAGTTGAAAAAATCGATTTTTTTTTTCTTTTCATATTTCGGTAGATTACACCTTTAAAAATAACATATTAAAATTTCAAATCGATATCTCAAATAGTTTTTGAGTTACAGCCATTTAAAAAGTATACATATAGTATATAGTGCAACGATCATTTTATCTTTAAACGCGTTTTTCTCAAAACTGTGTTTTTCAAACTTGTCTCCATTGTATCTCAGAAACGGCTGGACCGAATTACTTGAAATTTACAGGGCACACTCAATATATTTAAACGCATGGAATGAACTATTATCAATCAAAATTTTGAAAACTTCGATTTTTTATAGCAAAAAACAAAAAACAAAAACGCCTAATTTGCAACTTTTATTTCAAATGTCTATAAAACATCCATTTTTTTTTATATTCATTTGATTGTAGTTCATTCCGTGCTTTTAAGCCTACAAATTAAAACGCCGTTTATTTTTTTTGGTCAGATAAGCCGATCAGCCGGAATCGTGGAGACAGTGGGAGCTCTTTTTTTTTGAGGGGGGGTGTTTAGAGCGCTGTAACTCTAGTTGGACTAAATTTTTTTAGCTGAAATTTTATATTTACACTGTCCAAATATGTATTAATAAATGATAAAAAACTTGAAGCTCTAGCTATTTACTGGTCGTAGAAAAAAAATTCTAAAATATCCCTAAAAAACAGGCCGTCACATAGGAAGACCCCCTTAACGAGCGGAAAGGGTTAAACCGATAGAGACAACGATGCATTCCAAGGAAGCGCAACATGCTGCAGTGCGCCAGGGCTGTGCAACCGTTATCGAATATATATAATATATATAAATGCAAAATTAAATTGAATTAACCTAACGCGTTAAGTCAAATGCTTTTTAAGTTTCCATCAATACAATTCAGGAGCCCTAGGCATCATCATCATAGAGGCATTTTGCTTATCAAACTTATGGACTAGAACCAGATGTCTAACGGCTACAAACCCATGTGAAAATCTTCTTTGACATAATGGACAAACGTGCTGCTTCCTATCAGCACACTCGTATTTCATGTGTCTTCGGAGTGAGTGCTTGTTGAGGTACCTGCGACTGCAACCAGGCATAGGACAGGCGAAGTCGGATGATGTGGTCTGCTTCAGAAGATCACCGCCTGTTGCCAAAGACCATATATTTTTGAAGTCTGAGGAAATAGAAATATGTGTAAGAATATGTAGAAAAAGTATTGTTATTCAATCTTTTGAGTGAAGAACACATTATTAAGACTTATTTGATAATTGGTCTAAAAAGCTAGGAACATTAGATGAATTAAAATTATATGATGAGAGTGAATTGTAGATACTTTGTGTTGAAAATTGTTGAATAAATTAATTGATTAAAAATATCAGTTAAACTTACTGTCACGAATAAGGGGCCGTTCAAGTATTACGCAAACACTATAGGGGGGCGGGGGGTTATTGATTTGCTTATTTTGGGTAAGAACTTTACTTACTTTTGCTGACAAAGGGGAGGGGGGGATAAATAGTTGTAATAAACCTGCTTACGTAATACTTGAACGATCCCTAAGACTGCGAACGAAAGCGAACCACTCGCATATTAAGGTGCGTCCTCACCAAACGACCAAACATAACAAGCAAGGATATTCGTACCAGAACGAAGGGCAACGAGCATAGTTTGAAGCCACAACGAACACGAACGAACACAAACAAACATAGCGAGCAATGTTCCGCAACTTGTCGGTACATCTAAGAAAATTGTTCGTTCATGTTTGAACTCGTATGTGCAGTGTGGACTCTACCACAAATGTAGACAAACATTTTTCTTTTTTGATGTTAATATGTGCAGTCCTGCATTAGTTTATGTTGGATTATTATGTGATATTGCTATTATTGACAAATTTTATAAATTTTCAAATAACATTTCTCTTTCCCGCCACTTTAAATAATTAAACTGACGTTTCACGAAACTTTCGCGAATAAAAAAGATTCAAGCTTTCACTGCTTTGCATTTGTTCAAGTTCATTTGGAATGATTCGCTTTCTTTCGTGTTCGTTTGTATTTTCTTGTTCGTCATGTTCATTCGTGCTCGTTCGTTAGGTGAAGCGCACCTTTATGCGTCGTGTTCGTTCGCGCTCGTTCGTTAGATAAGGACGCACCTTTAGGATCTAGTTTCTTTGCACTAAGAGTCCAATTATGCATTTAAGGTTTCTATATTTGATAGAGAAAAGGTAATTGAACAATTAACGGTGGTGTTTATTAAAACAAATACCCTTTTCACACAATGATTATTTTTTCCTAGATGACCATTTGTACCATTAACACTCTCTTTTTTTCTAATACATAATACCCTTTTTGCATAATGAAAATTCTGTTTCCAGTGCAGGCATTTGTAATTATTTTCTTATTATTAATAAATATTATATGTATTATAAAAATTGTAAATTTTAGTTTTGATAATTTTGAAAAAACGCATTAAATATTAAAATAAAATTGAAAACTATGCTTGTTAAATTCTTGTTATTCTTTACATTTTTACTCCAAATTGCATTGTGTTTATGGTGACGAAGTATTAATGCAACAAATTTATCATAATTGTTGAATCTTGATATTGCATTCCTATCATTTTATCCAGAATAAATTAGGAATAAAAAGTCATAAAGTCTAATTGAGATTTATCAATGCATGATTTCTTCTTTTATATATTTAATTTACACATTCGTTTGAATATATAAAAAACATAAAAACTATATTATATATATACATATCCGACGAGACAGCTGTTTTTTTAAGAAATTTCATATGGAAACCAAACTGTCTTTAAAATTACGTCATAATAAGCGGTTGTCAATATGTCCGGCGTCATACTAATCGGATTCTACTGTATATATATATATATATATATATATATATATATATATATAATATGTATATATATATATATACATGAACTATATAAGTAGTATATTAATGCTGGCCATTTTCTATCATTTTTCAAGTAGGTATACTTACCAGTTTATAAACAATACAAAACATTAAATAATATACGCAATTTCCATTGATCATTCATTTATCAGTAATCATTCGCACGTTTTAGAAAAATTAATATCCGTATTAAATATAAATGATTTAATATTTATTTTGGTTATAAAGAATATACAGAAATCGTATACACAAGTACTCTCACCAACAATATAAAACATTATATTCATAACATAGTAAAAAGCAAATAAAAAAATGAAATTAGTACTATTAAAAAAATAAATTGTAGATATCACCATTGTTAAATATGACTAATCACAGTTTTAGAATTTACATAAAATTTATAAATTATAATAAAAATATCGACAATTATATTTCAATACCAACATTATCATCACAAAAAATATAATACGACTTATAGCCCTAAAAATTTATATAAAAACTATTTATTATTCGCAAATAATAAATTAGTCGTATTAAGGGCTTACAAATATATCACTCCAGTAGTTATCAGTCATATATAATCGTCGGTAAATTTTGCAAATATTTAAATAAATATATAAGTTTTATAAAATATTAAAATAATTATGAATATACATGCTAAAAAGTATATAAATTTCTTGTTATACAATGCTTAAATTTAAATAAATCACAACTCACATATCAGTACAAACTTTATCACATTCAAAGGAATATATAATATTTCCTTACTAAGCAATCTTATAGAAAAAGCTGATCAACATTTTGCTAATGCAATTTGATGAGATAATTGAAGTTTATTATAATTCATAATTATAATAAAAAATTACCTGATTTTAAGAACATATTTTTTATAATTTATAATTCATATATTAAAATTCGGTACTGAGTACTTTTAATATGCAGATCGTATGATGAACATATACAGGTATGTATAGATTTTTCTTTGATTTGATATTTTTATAATATGCTAATGCAATTTAGAATTAACTTACAGATTCATATTTAAAAGTCCTGCTTTTGACAAAAAATTGCAAATTTAAGCAAAATGTTTATCAGTTTTTGCTTCCGACTGAAAACTTTCAGTATTAACCTTCATATCAATCAGTTCTGGAGGTAAATCTTGGTACGTATTATGTACATTACTGTAAATCTGCTTTTTTATAAACTAATAGCTATATATAAATATTAAAAAAGTATGCATTTCAAAATTTCATGTGTTTTAAACAATTCCTTTATCCCCCACTTGTAGCTCGTTTTCTGTATGTACATTTAGTATAAAAATAAAATCAGAGTATATCAAGATTATTAATAAGATTATTAGGATATGTGATATCTATATCTAAATATGTACAAAGTTACACTATATTTAATTAACAATTTATATATTTCTACACCTTGCCAATCCTAATAAAAATCTAGCATTATATTTTAATATATGTGTGTTGCTTCGTAGTATTTATTTCACAAAATAAATATACAAAAATATAAAAAAAATCTTAAGATTTGCATTTTTACTGACGTTAGTTGAAATCTCATGGCAATCGCTAATACTAAGTTCACAATTTAGAACGAAGTTAACATTTATAAAAATACTTCAATCCCAAAAGCAAACTTAGTAAATGATTCATTGAATTATTTCTGATAATCACAAATGATTTCATCGATCACAAAATGCTTCTGACAAAGACTAATAGAAATAAATAATCTAATAGATGCACATTTCTTTTTAAATATATTAATAATTTTTAAAATGACTATTCATTTTCAACATGAGATCATATTATTTCGTAAATCTAAATTTTTTATCACCTGGTTTAAGCTTCAATATTAAGACTTTAGCATATAATTTTCAAGAAAAGTAAAAAATTGCAACTATCACTGTCCTAAATCAAAATAGGTATTGTTGCATATATTAAATAAAAACATGCATTATATATTACTAAAAAAATCACTTCAAACAATAACTCGTTTCAATAAAAAAACAGCCTTAACAACTATCAAGTATATTGTGATATATATTGTAAATAATTGTTGAATTTTATCTATAACGATTCTATGAAGAATCAAAATTATGATAAAATAGTAATGAGTCAAATAAAAATGTTTGTAAATTGTTAAATCTAACAGGCTACAATTTCTAATAAATATACATCACATGTTAACATGAAACTAAAAAATATGCATTTTCAATCATGTTTTGAGTCTACATGTTTATTCATTTTTTTTTTCAGAATAATAATCATAACTTAAAGTTGATCAACTTTCAAAAAATAAAATTAAACATCAATCGTAACATGACATTTGGTTGAAAAATCATTTTATTAAAATTGATTCAAATTAAAAGTAGGTTTAACAGTTTGATTATAGATCGCAAAATGGCCGCTTTGCTATTGCTTCATTTTTAATTTCTACCGCACTCCATGGAGGCGCCACTTAATGTAGCACGTAAATTTACCAATATGTTTAATTCTAGATAAACCTGATCAATTTGTATAAATGAAATCAGATCAAAATATATGCGTATAAAATAAATTTTCAACTCAAATACGTTTTCACAAAAATATATAATAAAAAAAATTAATGGGCCGATTCTGCCGCACAGGAGACAAATGTTAGGGCAGGACCATGTTACGCTCCAGCTTCCATACATTATGCTACTGAATCATACTGAATACTGTCAAAATGCCATGCATTTGCTGTGCATTCAGGCGTTTCACACCTGAACTGCAACGTCACTTGTATGTTATAAAGCTGGGTCAAAAAGACCTTGTTGTCTAAGATCGTTTTTTGACATTTGTGCGGTTTCTAGGTTAGATTTTGAATCTGACAACCTGCGAAAAACGCCTGACTGCACTGCAACGACATGGCTTTTGTCCATATTTAGTATAAAAAGTTCTTCACAACATAGCCTTGCCACAACATTGGTCTGTTGTGTTGGACGTATATAATAATAAGAAAATCAGTTCTTGAATAAGAGTGATGAATATCCTTACAGTAGACCCTCTGTTGAGTGCGAAAACAACAAAAATTTGCAATCAAACGGTTAAAGTATTATTGTTCACATATATAAAAAAACAATTTATTGTCACATTGACTATATTCAACTTCTAACTGAACAAAATACCCACAAATATTAACAGAACAACAAATGAATAATATCTAATATTAACAGTCAATTAATAAAAAAATTTAAAAAAAGCTCTTTGTTAAAATTTAGAAGTTATGGGTAAATCGATTCACCGAAGAAAGTGAATATATATATTAGAAATCGGTATAGATATATACATCTTTGTGTATTATTCTTCTAATATAATGAATAAAATGACTAAAAAATTCAATCATATAATAGTACATGCCAAATCAATGTTTTTAAAAAGTCTCAAAATTTTCAAACTGTTTGAAGAAAGTTGAGATAAGGATTGAGTAGGTTTTGTTTATGTTTCATGTAGAACATATATAAAAGTCGTTGCTCAAATATAAGCACTTATGTTACATCTATGAAATACGAATAATAAAATTTGTAGTATATTGTTAATCATTTGAAAATATTTAAAACAATTTATATTAATTATTGATAAATTTTTAATAGATCATATAGTCGACTATTTAATTAAGGTACGGGAAGTACCAGAAATTTGCTCTAAAGGCACAATTCCATGCACCACTAATTATCATATGATTGTAATTTTTTAGTCATCTTTTCCGTATCTCAGAAGTATAGTGTGGATCTATAAATTCCCACACATGTCTTATCTGTTCTGGTGTGTACGCATATGAAGTACCAAATTATGTTTGTGTTTCGATTTTTTATGGCAAATCGGGCATTCGAATTTCGGTTCGACTCCACATTCGAACCTCAAATGCCGGTTAAGACTATGTGGTCTGGCGTAGGCATTACCGCAACGGCGGCAGGTAAATGCACCTCCCGGAACAACGACCGTCTGCTGGGAGGTCGAAGGTTGGGACAAAAGTCCGGCACCGGAAGAAGGTGAACGGAACGCACCTGATGATTGCCCTTGAGATTGGGCACTTGATAGAAAAACTCGCAAGTCGCATGGTTTTTCATCATCGTCGTCAGGATTTTCGTCGGAAAAATCGTCAACTTCAGTTTTCGGGAAGACAGCTGGAAAAGAAATGAAGCGGAGTGGTTAGTATAAGGAAATTGGAAATATGTTGATAATATAAGTTTTATATGACATTATTTGTGGTATGATGATAAAATATCTTTATAATTATCAGTATTTACCTAAAACACAAATGCTTGATAGTAATTTTCTGCAGAGGTAATATCAAAGCTATGTATGTTAGTTGCCCCGCGCAAAAAAAAAATAGACGAGTTTTGAATATGAAAATATATTATATATTGTCCTTATATATAATTTCATTAAGTCTCATATTTTTGTTAAATCTCTATCTGTATATACATATTAGCAAGCCGATTGGTATTAGATTTTGTTAGTGTATCTTGATATTTTGTGTATTTCACTCTAAGAAAATTGAGTAACAGATGTAATGTAATATCCCTTAAAGTTATTTATTGATATTATATAAAATAGTAACAAATAAAGCAAATGAATATACCTTCAGACGCATCTAACATCATGAAATTTTTATTTAATTATGAAAATTTATTTATATGTTCTTGTATATTCTATGTTGTGTATAAGTACATTATTATTTCTAATATTGTTATTTTGTTATATTTATTATTATCTGTCACTTATTGTTTTTATTCCACTTTATTGTTTTTTTAGTATTTTTGTTATTCAGACATTTTATTTATTTTATTTATTTATTATTATTATTATTTGCTTTTATTTTATATTAAATCTTCATACTACGTATATCATTTTAATGGAAATACTATCCTTTATGTTGTACTATTTTTTATTTAAATTTATGTTATTGTTCATTATTATTATTATATGTTAAATTATTCAGCAGTTGTAACAAATATTGTAATTAAAAAAAATACTATATTGTATTTTACTTATGTTATATGTATAATAATTGTATTTTTAAGTGCTATTATTAGTTGTACTTTTAAGTGCTACTATACTGTGGGCTATGTGTTTAAAAATAAAAAGAAAATAACAAATATTTCTTTGAAAAAATAAAAAATTAACCTCATCAAAAAGAATCAAGTTTTTTTTACTCATTTTGGACATTTTGATCATCTTGTTCTCAAGAAACTCGTAATGAGCACGTTTTAGACTTTGAGTATTTCTGATATTTATAGATATAAGTATCTATAAAAATTGTATAAAACTTATGAATAAGAGTAGAATCTAAGAACCGCATAAATTTTCAAGATTTCGAATTTGAAAAAACCTGAATAAAATTTCAGTTAATTAATAAAATATACGACGATGAATAGATTTCTTAATAGAAATATCTGTATATACATTAAGTTGTCTAAATATTCTCATATAATTGTATACATACATGCAAGTATTCTTGTTCATATCAGGTTCTCCAAAATCATAAATGCAAAGCGTTTAAAACCAAATATCGCCAAAAGCTTAATTATGTTAAATGCTATATTTGGATATCAAGCAGGACAATCACTAACATAACATGCATCACTTATTATTAACAATTTTATAAATATTATTATATCACCTTAAAAATATGTATAAGTTTAATATATTCCAAAGAAAATCTATGGCAAAATATTATAAATTTTATAAAACAAAAAATCATAAAATAAGATTAGTGAGTAGTGCTGTCTTTAGGACAGATTCTAGACATCTCATTAAAATATGATTATATTTATTTATATTTCTAGTTTTCTTTATAATATTTTATGTTGAACATTTTCTATATAAATGTAATGGAATATACACAATATCAATAATAGTCGAAGAAATCAAAGAGTTATTTGAAATAGAGTGATTATAATAAAACAAGGTAGAATATTTTTTTTTTGTTTTATTGACCTTATGAAACAATATTAAGTTTATGCACAAAATAAAGACCCCTAATACTTATTTTTATGGAATGTAAATTATTAATTTTGTCATACAATTAACAACAATATTTTTCACATGGAAATATACCAACTATATAATAGTTTATTTTTATTTACAATTATATAACATTTTAAGCCTCATATGAAATATTTTATGCCAGCCTAAAATATTGTATAATATTATATTTATAATTTTTACAGCAAATAAATATAAATGTAGTCCATAAAGGAACCACATTTATTATACTTAATATATTATAATCAGTTACACGTTTATTTTATCAATTAATAATACTGTAAAATCTATTATATATCAAATATATAATAACAATAAATATAAGCTCTAGTTTATTAAATCTTAAGATAAATATATTAAATAATTTATTCCCAATAAAAAATAAATTAAATAATTTTCATCAGATATGAAAATTCTAGATGATGAAAAAACACAACACTTGGAGAAAGTTGTTTTGAAAAATAAACATATACATAGTCAAATTTAAATTTGATAACAAAAAAACTAATAAAAAATATATTAATCTATAACAATATTTGAATCTAGCTTCACATTTCGCGAAAAAATATGTAATTTTAGCGAAAAAACTAGTGGTGTATGGCATCGTGTCTTAAGGCAAATTCTCTCACCAGAAATTAAATTAAAAAAAAAAAATTAAATATGTTTTAAACTTTGAAAAATTTAGATTTTTGAGAAATTTTAAATTTTTGAAAAAAAAATACATTTCTGGAAAAAAACTTGTTTTTTTTTAGTTTGAATTATTTTGGGAAATTTAAACTTTTTTCTAAGTAATCGCACTGCTTTAGCTGCATAGAGACGCAATATAGAAGCGCGTAGGCGCCGCATCGCCGTCTAACGGACAATCGATGTTACTAAACCCATAGAAATGTAAACAAAATTAATACAGATTATTAAAATCTCCATAAAATATCTGATAATTTGAAGGGCATATGTCAAATGATTATTTTTAAACTCAAATTAGCATTTTTTGAAAAAAAACATACACACACACACACACATATACAACAATTTTTTTCTAAGGTATGTCAAAATGTTCAGAAACCTCTGAAATGTAAAGATATATACAAATTTTCATTTTCGATTGCGATTACTATAACTTGTCCCACATGAAGTTAATAAAATTGCAAATTCAAACAGTAATGACACTAAAATAATTTTAAAAGATTTATAAAGAATCTAATTAGATTTTATGCTTAATATATCTTTAAAATGTCTTAAGTTAACAGATGTACAAGTGGATAATTAAATATTTTTAGATAAATTTTGTCTAAAATTAATTATTGCAGAACATTCAAATTTTCATGCACATTATGTTCTTAAAAAGTTTAAAAGTTTTAAGTAAACAAATTCGGAATAAGGTCATCCCCAGAATATCGACGTAATGACAACAGTTTTTTTATTCTGATGATATTTTTTAATATAATTTATTAGGAATATGATTAAGAATGTCTTTAATTTTTCTAGCTCTTGAAGAAAAACTGCTTTATTTATCTCTATTATTAAAATGGAAGATTTGCGGGCCAGAATGAATAACCTTGACCAGGATGTTTACGTTCCATGTGAGTTTTTAGATGATGTTTATGCCTAAAAGTTGCAGTATTGCAATATGAACATTTGAACATTCTCTGAATTCCACATTCATATTTCAAATGCCTAAGCAAAGATGTCTTATTAACGTATGAATTTCCGCAGCGTTGACAACAAAATTCTCTTCCAGGTGCTACATTTGATCCAATCCCAGCAAAATAATCTGAAAATAGAAATTTATTTAATGAGATAATTAAAGAATTGAATTAAAATAGGAATCTCTATAAAAAGATTCTACTTTTTGATGTGCAAATTCAAATAAAGTATTAATTTTGACGTTGTGAGATTGCTGAGTTTTGAAATCGGTCTAATAATTATTTGTAGATATGCAGCAAATTTTTATACCTTAGGTCTAACTTATAATTTATAAAAATCGAGTAAAGATATTGTGATATTATTACTATACTATTTATTTGTCAAACATCATTTAAATCCATTTTTAATGTTCTATCATGTTGATAATTAAGTTAGTTATTACAAACTTATTGTTATAAATATAAGACTTTTAGTGACGTGCCTTTCAAGTCGCCTTTTAGTGATGTGCATTTATAATGAAATGATAAAAATTTGGTAGGGGCACTTGGACCCAACATTTTTGTTGGAAAAAGCATTTTTATATAAAAGTTCAGTTGATAGAAATACATACAAGTCTATAGACAACACTGATGTTTTATTAGAGTTCAATTATTTGATTTATTGATCCTTTTGAATTTTTGGCCACCCATGAAACAGCCTAAATATATCGATAGTCGACTATCAATAGTTCATATTTCGTTTTTATTTATTAATTCACTTTTTTTTGAATTACATTATATGATTAAATATATATATGAGTTTATTACCCAAAGGTATTTTTCTCCAACAATGTTCAGGAATATTATTACACATATTTTGTCTTTAAAAATAAAATCATATACTTCAAGTTATAGGTACTATATTTTGAGAGATCAAAGTATTACATAATCAATTAATTAGTATATGTAACTAATACATTGAAATACTATAATTTAATTCATATATTGTAACTTATTTTTTATATCATATTTTAATTACTATTACTTATAGTTTATAGTTTATTTACAGACATCTTTGGCAAATGAAGTTTTCAATATTTGTACTATTCTTAAAAATAGCATTTTGTTCTTGATGTAATTTAAATTACAAGTATTCAATCACTGGGATACAAAATTGATTTAAAATAGGTAAATAATTAAGCACATTCACTCACATTTATACACATACACACCTATATACATATATATATATATATATATATATATATATATATATTACAGAGAATTATTATTGATAGTAATAACATAATATGTACGTTACATATATATCATAACATTATTTTTAAAATTAATACCAAAATATTTTTTTAATTAATATTGTTATCATAATACAGGTAAAAAAATATATTTATTTATTTCATTATAAGATCAGACAAAATGAAAAGCATCAAACTTTAATTATATTTCAAATCTCAAGAAATAGGAAAGATACTGTCACTTTCTTTTTAATTCATAATGTAAGATGCATATTTTAAATATTATAGTTTTACTAAAAATGATAATTTTATTATTTTGATTATAATCTATTTTTTCAAGATTATCCTTGTCCTTCATCAATGACTTTCATTTTTAGCTACTCAAGGGCTCTATTTGTAGCCACATAAAATAATTATTCTTTTTGTTTAATTCATTATGAAAGATATTTTAAATATTATAGTTATACTAAAATGATAATTATATGATTTTGATTATAATATATTTTTCCAAGATTAACCTTGTTTTCCATCATTGACTTTTTTTTTAGGAAATCAAGTGCTCCTTTTTTAGCCACATAATAAAATTATTCTTTTTATTTAATTCATAATGAACGATATTTTTTATAGTTTTACTAAACATGATAATTTTATTATTCTGATTATAATATATTTTTCCAAGAATAACCTTGTCCTCCATCATTGACTTTCTGTTTTAGGAACTCAAGGGCTCCATTATTAGCTAGATAAAAAAAATATTTTTTTTGTTTAGTTCATGATCAGAGATATTTTAAACATTAAAGTTTTATTAGAAATGATAATTTTATTATTTTGATTATAATATATTTTTTCAAGATTATCCTTATCCTCCATCGTTGACTATCTTTTTTAGGAAGTCAAGGGCTCCATTTTTAGCCACATCAAAAAATTATTCTGTTGTTTAATTCATAGTGAAAGATATTTTCATAAATATAGTTTTACTAAAAATGATAATTTTATTATTTTGGCTATAATATATTTTTCCAAGCTTATCCTTGTCCCTCATCATTGACTTTGTTTTTTAGTAACTCCAGGCCTCCATTTTAGCCACATAAAAAAATTTTTTTTGTTTAATTCATATTGAAAGATATTTTAAATATTATAGTCATACTAAAAATGATAATTTTATTATTCTGATTCTAATAAATTTTTCCAGAATTATCCTTGTCCAAGGGCTCCATTTTTACTCAAAATTGTGTTGTCTTTTAGTATGCTTGGCAAAATTCCTTTTATATTTGGATTTAAATGGACAAAGCGAGCAAACAAAAAGAGGCTCATCTCTGCATTCATATGTCTGATGCCTTTTCAGAATATATTTGTTGCAATAACTTTTTCCACACATAAAACAGCAATGCCTTTCTCCAGATTGTGAAGAATTTGTTGGTCGGGCTCGGCGAGGTTCAAATGGAAACATACCTTTGAAGTAGCCAGAAGAGCCTGAAAAAAATAAATATAACTTTGATTTATCAAAACAGTCAATAAATCAATTATTTGTAGGTTTTGGCAAAAGTATACTAAAATAAGTTTAACAACGCACACCTAAATCTAACCAGGAGAACTTTAGGTTTACTCTTCTAGGATTTTGGTGAAAGTTTGCATGGTGATAGAGTTAATAGTAAGAGCAACTTCCCTGAAATATTATAAGCCTGTGAGAAGTGGTTGCTTCATAAAATAATATTTTAAGGCGTTCGTTCTGACTAACAACTGTATCACCATGCAACTTTGAGCAAGGTTTGATAAAAATTCCAAAAGTGGGGGCATGCATTAATCACGTGAGGTTTTCAGGGAGAAGGTGAGTTTGACTAAAATATGACGTGGGGGAGAGAGGGCTATAGTAAGATATCACGTGTATTTATTTTATCTAATTTTTCTTTTTAAATACAAACTTTTTCGAAAAATAAAACAAAAATTTTACCATTTTTTCTTGTAACTAAAAATACACGTGATGTTTCGTTGAGGAAGGGGGTAATTTTGAATATGATTACCAAGAGGGAGTGATGATCCAAAAATCCATAAAAAATCACGTGATTAATTGATGCCCCTTGAGGAAATCTAAAGTTTTCCTTGTAAATATTATATAATAAAACCCGCAAAAATACTTTTTGAAAAAAAGTGAAACTTATTTTGTGTATCTTAAAATTGCTTTAATCAATCTAATAGATTTGAGTAATAATGTCATTTTTAAACTTTCCAATTCATCTCTAATAAATTAAATGTAAATTTTGAGCTAGATCAAAATAAGATTATTGAGCTGGTTTTCTTTAGATTTAGGTGTACAATACTTTGAATACATCACTAAAAACTAAAAACATATTTTGGTACTTTACTTGCTACTATATTGAAATTTGTTCCATTTGCTTTAATTTTTTGGCACAAACAGAATAAATATAACAATAAAAATATTAAAAAAAAAATTGAATTGTTAAATAAAACACCAAATTTTCTACACAAATAAATTTCCATATTTTTTTTCAATAAAATATATTTAAAATATAAGTGATTTTTATGTGTTCACATAACAATTTTTTGCTAAAATATATTTAACTTCATTAGTTATAAAATTAGTTTCATATTCAAACATATTTATACGCTTTTCAAATACAATTATCAAACAATTTCATTTCAACTTTAAATTTGTTTCCTTAGAAAGTATTGAATGCATCTTGCTATAATATTTATTGTTGCATAATTGGAATGTTAATAACACAGAATATTTCATAATTTATCTTAACACAACTTAATTTAAACCATCTTAATTAACTTGTTTGTACAGACCTATAAATAAATTAATGCCCCTTTCACAATATGATATTACTCTAACATATTATTTTATTCCAACAAATATGTGTGAATATTAATTGCAAGTATTTATGTAATAAGAGAGGCACTATAAAACTTTTGTGATATAGTAGATAATTCATTCAACAAGATCTATTTTGGTTTAAATAACACTTTTATAACAAACTTATATATTAATAATTATAGTGGCATTCGTGTAACTTTTACAGTAACAAGTATACATCATAAATATGTTTATGTTCTACTTATTCGAGATCACTTAAACATATTATTTGAAGATAAATTAGTTCAGGCATAATACCTATTAAAAAACTGGGTAATCAAAAATTACAAATCTATTAAATCCATAGGTCAGAATAAAAAACGATCTACATCGTCTACATCGAGACCGACAGTTATTCAAGTTTTTTTCTCTGATGTAGATTGAAATTTATAGATTTAATAAACTTGTAATTTCCAATTCAGCTTTAAAAATTGGTAACTAATTTATCTATATATATATATATATATATATATATATATATAATATATAATATGTAATAGAAATCTTAGTGTTTCTTTGTTTTCATGAGTTGTTTCAAATTGGAATGTAACATGTCGATTTTCATAGTATTTATGATTTTTTTATATTTTTCGGTTTAAATCATTTCTGCTCGTGATATTGCATTAGATATTTAATTTATCATTCAACATATATTATAACACAAGCCAACTTTGAAATGAAAAATCACAAAATATTTCCTTTTTTGTCTCCACCAACGAATTTAATCTGTAATTTAATATTATTTCGTGCTAAATTACTAAAAAGATAATATTTATTATATGCTGAATTAAAGTTTAATTGTTTCTTAAAATGTTATATATATTAAAATCACTGGAATAATAGCCCTGAGTTTTTTGTATTAAAAAATGCAATAATAATTATTGAGCCTGAGCAGCTTTATTTCTCTTTTACTCTAAAACATTGATAATTTTAGTTTTATTTAAAAAAATTAAATAATACAATTCATTAGTATCAAATTAACAATAACAATTAAATTGTGATAATACAAATATTGTATTATTCTAAATAGTTTTTGTAGATTCGAAACTGCTTTTAAATTGAACCAAAAAATCTCAAAATGCTCTTTCATTTAATATTATCACACAAATAATAATTTCATCATGCAATTTAATTAATAATTAATAACAAAGTATCTGTATTAACTGAAACTGTACAAATAACTATAAACTGTTATAATTTTGAATAATTAAATTCAGTTAAGAGTCTTTGTTACAGGCGATTAAGAAAAGGAAAATTTTCTGTGGATTATACAAATTATATTGTGAAATAAATTATTTAAAATAAATAATTAGATTGCGAATGAATTAAAAATTCAAATAATGATATAAAAATAGTTTTTGTTAGAAATCTAATGAAATGCATATGTAAAAAGCTGGCTCATAAATAATGTTAAAAAATATCAGTTTGTAAAAATATGCAATTTGATATATTCATAGTAAGGTATATACTTTTAACAATATATTAGGAGGCATCCATTAATCAAGTGATCGATCTTTTAGGAATTTTTAGACCCTCCCCCACCTCACCCCCACTAGACATCACATGTATTTTTCTCCCATAATATTTAAAATTACCCCCCTTCCCCCTCCAAACATCACAAACAATTTTTTTAAATTTACGAAATAATCGTCGATTTTTTTTTTGAAAATTCAGGTATAAAAATAACTACACGTGATATCTTACTAGATCCCCTCCCTCCCCCACGTAATTTTTCGTGATTTTTTGTTAAACCCCCCCCTCCCTCTGAAAGCCTCACGTGATCAATGGACGACCCTAATAAACACACAAAAAAAAAATTGTGAAAAGTTGTTCTAAAATATCAAAAGTTTAATCATCTGACATTTGGACTAAATTTGTGCGTTGTTAATAATAACAAAATTTGAAAATATTAGAGGCATGTGAAAAATGTTTAATTCAGTGCTTTTAAAAGTTTTTTTTTACACAGGCAAGGCGGTGATCTCTGTATGCTGAAATTTAAATTAAATGAAAATCGATAAAATTTGAACTTACGTATAACACTTTTTGTAAACCTCTAATTTTTACTAAACCCTGGCCAGTAAATCTTGTTAATAGTAACCTCTCCAATAAAAATCGTCTGGAGTAAACACTACTTTTACATTAAAAATAAGTTGTTACAGATTTCGGTGCTCTCGATGAATTTCTTCTTGAAAATCATTTTAAACGTTCTCTTAAAGACTAAACAATCATATCATAAGAATGCAGTGTTGTGCAAACGTACATTTAATAAATAAATCTATCATTTTGAAACCTATTACCACTAAAACATATCTTCTTGACACTCGTCTTTTATAGAATCATTTTTAATGCCTATCTCCGAATGTTTCCTTTTCATGTGTTTATCCAAATTTCGTTTATATTTCGAAATAAACAAACATTGGTCACATTTAAACTGAGGTTGGATCCCGACACATTCGTATTTTTCATGTCGATCTCTGTTATATTTTTGTTTGTAAGCATGTCCACACCTGGAACAACCGTACATCACCTGGTTCTCCGATTGTTGGCCGATGCCCATTTCTGATATCCAAAACAGGGTAACATCATCTGTGGAAAAAAAATAGATAATGTAGTCTAAGTATTGAAAAAATATAGAGAAATGTGGATAAATAAAAGTTGATAAGATACACATGCTTAGGAAATGATAATATTCATACATTGTCTAGAAGGTAATGGAAGAAGAGAAATTTAGTTGAGAAGGATTTACAGAATTGAGAAATAGCAGAAATCTACATAATATATGAGAGGATCTATAATGTTAAATCACTAATAAACTTATCAAATTTTTAAGAAGCTTATTGATTTATGTACTTTTTAAATTGTTGATTGTTACAGTCACATCCACCATAGAAGACTTTATGTAATCCTAAATAGAAAATATTTTTTGAAGTAAAACTTCTTTAGGCGCGTCTAGGGTGTAAATCTGTACAAATGCAACGGAAGTCCGTTACACCTGAACTGTTCGTCGAGCGTCACTGTAATCGATGAGATCATTTCTATACGGGTCGATTGTGATTAGTCGTCGTGTATGTGAATAGAGATCTGCTTTTGTATGCGTACCGATATCAACAAGGAAATCGGCATAGTACAAATCGTAGTACAAATCTTGATTTAATGACAAATGCCTGAATCAGAAGAATATTTTACCCTGTTCCTTGAAAATAATAAAACAAATTAAACATTTGTACTTACGTTTAAGTTTATTGATTAAAAATTATTACTATATTATACGTAGTTTCTATAAATCTTTGAAGTTATTAAAATGGAAAATATTTTTTAGGCAAGACAGATATTACAGCTATTCAAAGAATGAGAACCAACTCATTAAATGACCTGAACGAATACTTTATATCATAGTGTGCGCAAACAGAATAATTACGATTTCTAAATTATCCATCATGATGGAATAATTTTCCTAAAAAAAAATGAAGTTTATGAAAATAACAAGTTTGGATTTAAGTAAATATAAAATTTTCTGGAGTTGTGAGAAAAACATAAATGTTTTGATAAACTATATGCAACTATATAGCTTGTAAACAAAAAAAAGTTTTGAAAATACTAACAAAATACTAAAAAAATTTAAAATATTTATAAGTAAAATATTATATAATTTCTATAAAATAATAAGTTTTGAAAATAGTAACATATACACAACAGAGGCTAATTCTGCGGTTACAAAGACGATAGCATAGCGTTGTTATGGCAACGCTATCTTATCCTTCTTTCTTGGTACCAAAAACTGTGAAAATGCTATCTATTTGCTTGGTCAAAAGTATTTTACATATGAACAAACCTATAAAGAATGTTATTATATATGCATATTTGTGATGTGCGATCTTACAGCAAATAGATTGCATTTTTACAGTCTTTAGTACCAAGAAAGAAGGATAAGATATAAACAACATTATGTTATTGTCTATGGTACCACAGATATGTACTATACTAATTTTTTTATATATACTATATTATATATAATATAATATACATTAGAATTTTAAGAATTTATTATTTTGTAGAAATTATTATATATTTAATTATTCATCAATATTATTTTCCTATACATTCTCGACAGTGCAAGTAAAGATATCTTAATAATTCAGGTTTGATTTTAAATAAAACATTCATAGCAAAAGTAAAATAATTTAAAAAAAATATATTGAGTAACTACACATTTTACATACTGCTTTTAATTTAATACTAACCATTATCCATTAAAATTATTAACTTCCCGTAGGGTAAGTTATTGTAATGGGCCGAAAATCGGAATTGAAAATTTTAACATTTCTCGACGTTTTGAAGGTTTTTGAACGTTTTGGCATACCTAAGAAAAAATGGATGTGTGTGTGTGTGTGTGTGTGTGTGTGTGTGTGTGTGTGTGTGTATGTATGTATGGATACAAATTTCCAGTCACGTTTTAGGGCGCACGGATCAACCGATTTGAATGGTTCAAAAAACATTCGATTCCTATTGATAGGGAAAAGAGCTGATTAGTTTTTGGCAAAGGCAGGTCCAGCCGTTTCGGAGATACGGAGCAAAGAGTGCAGAAAATAGAAATCGAATTTTTGAGAGAACGGAGTATCTGATTTGAATGATCTAAAAAGCATTCAATTAGTAATGATTGGGAGAAGTGCTTATTAGTTTTTGGCAAAGGCAGGCCCAGCCATTTCGAAGATATGGAGCTAAATATGTAAAAATGGCAGTTTTTGAGAGAACTAAGCGTCCGATTTAAATGATTCAAAGAACTTTCTGCTTGTCTTAACAAAATAATTGATTTTGGAAAAAAAAATTTTATTCAATTTTTTTTTTTTTTTTTTTTTTTTTTAGTTTTTTCAAAAATATTTCAGATTTTATTTTTAATTCTGGCTATAGTTCTAATATACTTTACAAATATTTTCAACTCTGCAATTCAGTTTATATAATTCTCATAAATATTAGACAATGTTACAATATTTATAATAATCTATTTGAAAACATTCAGTATTCCTCGAACATTTCGGTACGGGAAGTTCCAGCAATTTGCCTTAAGGCACGATGCCATAAATGCCTCAAGACAGAATTCCACTTACAGCTAGTTTATATTTGTTTAGATCAATAATTGGAAGTTCTATAAAGATTTACATGCATCAGAAAAGAATCTCTTCAAATAAAATAATAAGACAAGAATTTAAATTTCATATAAAAATATTAGCTCATAAATATATGAAATATATAATTGAGCACTTTTTTTAATATCTATGATTATTTTGAAAAACGAGCATAAAAAACTTTAAATATATTAATAATACACAATTTAATTATATTCGTTTTTTTTATTTTTACAATAAAAATATGGCGGTATACATATATAAAACGATTATATTTATTAATTACATGTTTATACAAAAATATATTATTTATAATAAAATAAATTTAAATTAAACTTGATTCAGTACGAGTATTAATACTAGTAAAATATGCATCTAGAAAACGACCAAGATATTAATACATAAGTACATAAATATAATTCATGCATAATGCATGATTACTTGTATTATTATAATAAACACATTATTCAGTCAATTTACATAATAAAATGTAAAAATATATGTAAAATATGAATTATATACTAGAAATGCAAATAAAATATTTGCATAGATAGAATAAAAGTCTTACTTATAGAACCATATAAATTGATAAAATTTTTGAGAGTTCTTCAAAGTATTAATAAATCATATGAGAAATTTATGAAGTATACCCAGAGCGGGTCAATTTATATGAGTCAAAAAAGTCGCTTAGGCATATATAGTTTTCGGATACTAGGGATCAAAATAAGATACTTTGCTGAAGAAACCATATATCTAAAATGAATTATGATGTCCCGTGCATTGGTCCAAAAATAAGGGTTAAAATTTGAAAATTTTATTTCGACGCATTTAGAGTGCTGAGAAGGCTGATCCACCCATGCCCATAGTTCACCCCCCCCCGTACCCCCTCTGAGAGACTTTTCAAAATTTGACCCTCATCTTTGGGTCAATGCACGGGACACCAGATTTCATTTTAGAGGTGTGGTTTATTTGGCAAAGTATGTTATTTTAAATCCAAAAATCAAATGTGTCTAAGTGACCATTAAATCGATCTGCCCTAATACCAATATATGAAGTACGTATTGAATGTTAAATTGTTTTTACATTTTGTCAATTCTATATAAAAAATCTTCAAAACTTGAAAGCTAATATGCTTCAATCACTATATAAAATAGCATTCGTTTATAAATGCACTGAAAAGGTACGGTTGAACAACTTGGTTCCACGCAATTGGCATCGTTCATCAAGGTCCAAGTTCATGGAACATCCACAAATCACTATTAAAGATCAAAGTCTTATTTTATCATTCCAATCAAATAATATCATCTTCTCTCACCATTTTCAACAAGATCATCTGAAATCTTTGTCTTGAGGAAGCTGATTCTTGTTATTGATATCTTTCAAATCGATCGATGGATGTGCCAAGTAAACTGTCATAAAATGTGATTTAACATTTCTTTTATAGTTTGTCCAAAAACTACACAAATCACACTGGAACTGAGGTGCTTTGTTCCCACATTCAAACTGTATATGTTGTTTTAAATTCATTTTTTTGTGAAAGAAGTCCTATTTTACCTTTCCTGCTCTCTGATATTATCATCTCTCACCGTCTCCAACAAGATCATCTAAAATCTTTATCTTGAGGAATTTGATTCTTATCGTTGATAGCTTTCAAATCAATCGATGGTTGTGCCAAATGAACTGTCCTAAAATGTGACAACATTTTTTTTATATTTTGTCCGAAACCTACATAAATCGCATTGGAACTAAGGTGCTTTGTTCCCACATTCGAACTGTATATGTTGTTTTTTATAAAAAAATCCTAATTTATCTTTCCAATCAAATAATATCATTTTTTCACCATCTCCAACAAGATCATCTGAAATCTTTATCTTGAGAAAGTTGATTATTACTATTGATTGATTTCAAATCGATTGATGGTTGTGCCAAATGAACTGTCATAAAATGAGATTTAACATTTCTTCTATATTTTGTCCGAAAACTGCACAAATCACATTGGTACTGAGGTGCTATGTTTCCAAATTCGAACTGTATATATTGTTTTAAATTCCTTTTTTTTTTGTAAAAAAAGTCCAATTTTATCTTTCTTATCCAATAATATCATCTTCCCTCACCATCTCCAACAAACTCATCTGAAATCTTTATCTTGAGGAAGTTGATTCTTACTATTGATAGCTTTCAAATCGATCGATGGTTGTGCCAAGTGAACTGTCATAAAATGCGATTTAACATTTCTTTTATATTTTGTCCGAAAACTACACAAATCGCATTGGAACTGAGGTGCTTTATTCCCACATTCGAATTGTATATGTTGTTTCAAATTCCATTTTCTGGTAAAAGAAGATGGACATCTTTCACAATAAAATAAAGGAGATTGCTGCTGTTGATTTTGAAGTGGGTTGTGTCTTATTAGAGTTGATTGGAGAAATTTCTCGGGTAATGACCCGAAGGATGTAGTTTCGGACAATCCTAGCGTTGGCAACTTCTGCATTTCTGGATGAACTAAAAAATATTAAAAACAAAGTATATTAACCTCATGTAAAATTATATACAAATGATTCTTTTAAAAAGCTAATATATCTAATTCGGTAATATTATCTAATATATTTGTGTTATTATTAGCCAAATTTTGAAACTTTTGCCAGCCTATATCACACTTTTTCAGATTTCTTTGATGTGAAATTAGTAAAAGCAACAATTACAATAAATTCTCATGGTGAACTTAATATTTATATAAGAAAGGAATTTAATGTATTTATTTGTTGGAATAACTTGTTTGCTTTAGAAATATAAACTTGAATAATTAGAATATTATATTATATATATAAAGTAATTCAGACAAAAATATGATCATGATATTTTCAATGGCTGCCCTGATTCTCATGAAGAAATTATATGCATATTTATATGAGTATGTATCCAATTGAAGAAATTATTACACTTTTTTATCTTGAATTAATAGATATTGAGGCTACTATTTTACAATTTTTTATTTAAATAATCACTACATAAATACAATTAATTTATCACTAAAATGCACATTTATTTACAATTGATTTAACATTTAGTTTATATGATATTAACTAATTATGTATATATTAATCCTATAATTTTGTATTCGTAAAACTATAGAATTTTAATCTTCATAAGATGATTTTAATAACCTTCCGAAATTCACAGTTTATTTTAGAATGAATTAAATAAAATAAATTATGCAATAATCCTATTTAAAAATATAATAAACATAAATGATTTTTAGTTTTGTTTCATTAATGAATAATGAAGTAATTATTATTGTAGCTGTTACTTGTAAAATAAAAAAGTTTTTGTATTTGATATATATTCCATATTGAAATATACTATTAGATTATTTAACAAAGCGTCTAAATAAAATAGTTTTTTTTAAATTTTGAGAATAAAATGTATCTCATCATTCAGCTAAAATGATCTAAGAATAAATTAATAAATATTGAGCTAGAAAAAAAATTTTCATTCAATAAAACCAAGAATTAATCAAAAACAATTGTACTATAGGAAATACTCATGTTTTTTACCATAGAACAATTTTTATGAATAAATATAATATATATCAGTAAGTATCAGCATACTTAATATTTTAAAAAAGTCGAAAACTTTTGTAAAATGTAATATTATTTTATCATTTTCATAAGACATTAAAATTAATAAAAATTATAACAAGCGTAAAAAATATTCTTTGGCTTATATTTTACATATTATTTAACTATAAATATTTTATTTTTTAACTATTAAAAATAATGTATGGATCAATCAAGATAATATAATATTGTACTTTGTAGGAATGAAGAAGATGATTTCTTACGATATAAGTAATTTCTAAAAATGATTCGTTGTGATAAAAATTATTTAAGTACTAAGATGCATAAAAATGTTTTGTATTTTAATTTTTCAATTTAATAAAGTTTAATTTTTATTGGTAATAGAAACAACTACTTAAAAAATTATTACTGGTAAAATTGATTTAAGTTTGATGGCTTTGGTTCCATGTCAAATGGACTACCAGAGTCAGAATATACTTTCTGCTAAAATAGAAATATAGATTATTCAAAAATCATACGAATATTAACACTTTAACTTTTATGTTTCGAAGCCAAATGATTTTTCAAATGACATTTTCGATTTGCTCTATAAGTGCATAAATGACAAGCAAACAGTTTTGATTGTGAGCATTCATATCGAATATGTCTGAAAAGTGTGTTTCGGTTTTTGTAGACTTTTCCACATTGATTGCAGAGATGTATGCTTAACTTTTCTTCATTACAATGACACTTTTTGGGTGGATTAAGTTTGAGTCCTGAAATAAAATGAAAATCGATTAGAAGTGAAGAAAAAATATTTTGAGAGCAGAACACTTTACAGTTATATTATAGTTTAAATATTGGTCTGAAAGTGCATTTGTACACATCAATATTTATGTATAAAAAGGCACACACTCATATATAAATTATCAAAAAAGTATTAAATAAAATTACTATACACAATAAACCTCTTTGTGCTCATAAGCGTTTACAAGAAAATTGAACAAATATTTTGTACCTGATAAGTTTTTCTTGTTTACCTTTTTTTGTTTTATTTTGAATAGCAAATTATGCACTCAGTACATTTAGATACTTTTACAGTAATTCTTGTTTATCTGATATAACAAAATATTTTTGATCGATTTTTTTAAACAGCAATCAAAACTAGTATTCTTAAAGCTGTTGTATTGCTGTATGTACTATTATTCTAATATAATTCATTAACCAAGCGATATTATAAAAAGATTCATAAAAGTTATACAATTTATTTTGGACAAAACTATTTCCTACAAGATTCTACTTCCAATATAAAAATTTTATAATGGTAAAGAACGTTTCTGTGGTGATCTCTTGGGATCGCAAATTGTTTCGGATTCGATATCCACCTTCCAGATTGGCATCAAGTTTTGGGGCATTGTTTATCTTGTTATGAAGTATCTAAACACAAGCGTCAATGCCACTAACATAAAATTATCTTAGTTTCTTAGATAACTCGAACATGCAGCTCGTCGACCCGGAGGTTTGGCGCCGGGTCGACACGCCAGATGTTCTTGTTCCTAAGAAACGCAGGTACTAATAAGAAAGCAACTCAGCGGTTGTTCATTCTCCTTCTGTATTATATTGTGAGTAAAATTTTCTAATAGGTTGTTATATATTACAAAGCAATACTCCAAATAGCTATTTTCACTTGAAATCTCATATGGATTCAAGTGAAAACTCATATCACTACTGCTTGATATCATATCAAGCACTCTCTGGAACCCGTGGTTGCAAGATCAAAGTTTTTCCACAGAGCCCCGGAGATGCCTAAATTAAGTAATATGGCAATTCATGATCTTCAAATATGACACCTATTTGCATCTTTAGATTAGATTAGAACAATCTTAAAGGCATCTTTTCGTCTAGAATTTTTTTCTAACAATATTATAAAGTACATAAAATAATATGTTAAATATATTATGAATTATAACAAATAAAATATTGGCGATAGGAAAAAACAGTATGTTTAGTTGCAGGTAGTATAAAAATAAAAAAATCTTAATAATAAAGGGTTTACCTGTTACAATCACTGATGCATTGATGCTGAATCCCCTTTTTAAATATTAATAAAAATTATTACTGGACTATAATTAAATTATAGTGAAATATTAACTTTATGCAGTTAAATATATTAAGTGTTACTGAGAAAATAGACGTAACGTGTATATTTATCATTTAAATTTCTTTACAATTTATTTTAGAATCAATATAGGACCTATTAGAACGCAAATTGACCAATAAAAAAGTCGTAAATTATTTCGACAATGCTACAGAAAAAATATGCAAATATATATCATATTACATTAAAATTTATTAGACTAAATACAACAGCCAATGCACAATTTTTTTCTAGTTATACTTACAATATATAATAATCAGGTTTTAAAACTATGTGACTGATTTGTACACAGCAGGAATGTTAAAGTTCACAAAACGTGCAAAAACATATATACTAGAAAAATACTTTTTTTGGAATAAGCTTAGTGTATTAAAATTAATTTAACTTATTGTATTACTAAAAAAAAATTTAGTAATTGATCAATTAAAGTGATCAAAAAAAAGTTACATATACAAATAAAATTTAAGTCAGTATCGCGAGTTCTATTATTGAATATAAAAATTCAATAGTTAAAATTACAAGTTAATTTTTGAACACAAATAAGATTCTAATATCGTATGAATGAATTTCTGCGCACAAAATATAATTTTCACTTCCTTGCTTTTGACTATGCAAAAACCTTTCTCTTATATGTTTCTTATATATTAATTTTATTATATACTTAATTCTCTAAGTCATATTTTAAAAATCATTAAGACTTTAGACTGATTTAACGCATTCTACGTATTAACTAAACGTGATGTCGATTGAATAAATAAATAAATAGAGACTTATAATCTAATCATTTCCTAAACTCAAAGAAACACATAATGATGGATTTTATACACATTAATAAAAATATTCAGAAAAAAAAATTTACGCTAAAATAAATAAATTTGTTTTATTCATAAATATAAACTAATATTTCCTAAGCCCAAAAGACACATAATGATGGATTTTATATATATTTTTTATAAAAAAGTTCAGTAGAAACGGAATATTATACTAAAATAAAGAATTCAATTAGAAATACATATTACATATATGTCGGTTTATGCAATAGGTGCAAAAAATATTTTTGAATATTTCGAGCAAAACATATTTTCATAAAATTATATTTTCTAGATTTTCAAATTTTTAAAAACTTAGATTTAAATTGTGTCTAAGCTATTACTTGTTAATGAAATTACAACTCATGAAATATCTGAAAATAATTTATAGAAATAAGTTTATTTAAAATTATATAACTAAAGTTGCAAATAAGAAAATTGCCAAATGCTAAAATCCAAACCTTATTTTTAACATGTGAATTAAAATAAAGTGATCACTTTAATCTTTTCGAATTTCCATTTTAAAATTCACAAAAAATAAAAGTAAAATCACGAAAACAAACTTTCTGAATTTTTTGCCGAGGTGAAAAGACTCAATTGAAAAAAATACAATAAAACGATACTTTTTTATAAAGTTAATTTTGAAGAAAATTGTACGGAATTTTAAATAAAATTATACGATCTCTCTGGAGCCCATGTTTGCAAGACCAAAGCAGTTACCACGGAGTCACAAATAAGCTTAAAATTGAGTAATTTTTGTGAAATAATTACATTATAATATTATGTTAGTAAAAACTTTGGAATTAAAAAAAAATAAAAATAAAATCACGAAAACAATTCTGATTCTTTTGCAGAAGTAAGAAGACACAATTGAAAAATACACATAAAAACGATATTTTTTTTATAAAGTTAATTTTGAAGAAAATTGTACAAAAATTTAAATAAAATCATACAATGTTTAAATTAATTTTATAGAAG